GGGGGTGTTGTGCCGCACGGGCAGGACGGCTGGTTGTGCCGAGGGCCCCTCACCACCCACTTCTCTTCCTTCAGCTCCGTGGCATCACATCGAGAACCTGGACCTCTTCTTCTCTCGCATATCCTTTCGCGGTGGGGGATTCAGGCAGGATGCACCCCACCGCCTCCGGGCGCTCAGCGCCGGTACAAACACCGGGGTTGGCGTGACTCAGAGCCTGGGCAGCGTCTGCCCCTTCCTGCAGGACACCACATGGCTCCGTGCCTGTGGGTGCTGTCACCCGACACTGAGGGGACAGACAGGTTGTTTTAGGGATCCTCGGCAGAGTGGTGACAGCACTAAGTTGCAATTAAAGCTTTATTCACGTGACAGGAATTTATGAATAGTGTAGCATAGAATTTGTAATCAGAATAGCACAGGATTTCCGTAAACAGAATCAGTGTACCCCAGTTTTATAAGTAGCATAGTACTGAATGTTATAGCACTGCTTAGCTTATGGTTTCTAATCACCTGAACTCTCTGCAGATCAGGTCAGATCTTAATATGTGTTTTGGTGTATCAGTATAGCAATCATAATCTAGACTCGAAAGTCATATAAAAGAATATGAGTCACTTGCTCAGTCCTCAGAGGAAGCAGAGGGTGGTGGGGGTATCCCTGGCCACTGGGGGTCCCAGGTCTCTCTGTCCAGCAGCAGCTCTGGTCCAGGTTCCCCCTTAGGACTTGTAACTCCTTGATTTTATGGACAGTGCCCTGCATGCTGTTATGCTTCCCTGTTCTGTGACAGGGTCATCACTGCCACCAGGTTGGCCAGGTGCCTGAGACCTTCAAGGCTGGCAAGGAAGGGAGTGATGGGCCTGGTGCCTGGGAATCTTGAGGCCGGTAGAGAGGGGAAGAAAAAATCAGTTTGGTTTGTAAACAAGTCTGCTTGGTTCACAGGATCTTCAGGGCTTGATAGTGAAGGAAATGGAACTAATAGGTGACCCTCTGGGTCACAGAGAATGGCTGCTTGTCTTGTAAAATGGTGTTAGTTATGCTAAACACATTGCCAGGAGTTGGGAGCAGGAGGTACCAGTCACAGGTGCTGGAGGTATTAAATGCATTTTTGCCTGTCTCTATGTTGTCCTGCCCACCCTTGTGTAGCGTGAGGGCAGGCTGAGTTACTGCTCTGTGCTGGGACAGAACCCCCACTGGTGTTGGGTGGGGGAAGAAAGGAGTTGAATAGAGCCAAGTCCTCTTACCCCAGTGTTGCTTTACCTGGGTAGAGTGTGTTACCTTGCAGTGGAGAATCAGCTGGCTGAGTAGGGGTGGGAGGGGGTTTCTGTTGGTGGCGGAAGCAGGCTTGGCTGGTTTTTTTTGGTGGGACACAAGCCTCTCCACCCTTCATCAGAGGGAAGGAGTCTCTGGACTGTTCTCCTTGACTGTAGCTTTCACATCTATAACCTGCATCAGAAGAATGGCTTCACCTGCATGCTCATTGGAGAGATCTTTGAGCTCATGTAAGTGCAGGTTTCCCCTCGGCTGGGGCTGTGGCAGCTGTTGGGGAACAGCCACAGGAATTTGCCGAACTCCTGTAGCTGGGTGGGCGGGAGGGTTCCCTTTACAGTTGTTCTCCCCTTTGTTAGGGTTTTCCATGCCCCGAACCTGCATTCCACGTTGAGGAGCTGGTGCCCTTGAGCTTTCCTGCAGCTATGACTGTGGAAATGTATCTCCAAGACGTGTGACCCTGCCTGCTTTGTTTTTTGGGGGATAGAAAGGCAATTCCCTCACGCTTGCTCCCTTTTTTTCACAGGCAGTTCATCTTTGTGGTGGCATTCACCACTTTTCTTATCAGCTGCGTTGATTACGACATCCTTTTTGCCAACAAAGCAGTAAATCACAGCCAGCATCCCAGTGAGCCCATTAAGGTGACTCTGCCAGATGCCTTCCTGCCTCCAAACGTTTGCAGTGCAAGGTAGGGGCAGCGGAGGGCATGTTAGTCACTGCTCCTGCTTTCTCAGGTACTCAGGGTGCCTGCCTGGGCCTGTCTCCCACTGCTTGCCTCTTCTTGCTTGCAGAATCCAGGCAAACAGCTTCCTCATCTGCATCCTGGTGATAGCTGGAGTTTTCTGGATCCACCGACTTGTCAAATTTATCTACAACGTTTGCTGCTACTGGGAAATTCACTCTTTCTACATCAATGCCCTCAAAATCCCCATGGTAAGTAGCTGGGCCAGGGGCCGTGTGCAGGGCTGCTAAGAGATGCAGGAGGCATTTGCTGGGTGGGCAGAAGCAGCTTGCCTTCACTCCTCTCTGAAGGCAGATTCTCCAAGAGACTTGTACTGGACAATATTCCCTCTGATGCATCACTGCACAGGTCTCCTTTCAGCTTGTTTTCCAGCAGCCAACTTATTTCATGTTAACTTCCCTCTGCCCAGCCTGCCTCTGCCTGCTGGCACACACCTCTGCTGTCTGCAGCCTGTTTATTCTTCTGTAATGGCCTTTTCTGTGATGCCTTTCAACAGAAAAGGCATAAGCAAGGATATCCTCATACCTCCCTGGGTTGTGGACAGCGTCATCTTCCTTGTTTACTGGGGGGAAACTGAGTCGTGGAGCTGCCTAATTGGTGAAGACCACACTGGAGATTGGTGTGCCAAATATGGGGTTTGAGGCTTGCACATATATCCTAGTCCAGAGTTCTTGCTCTGATGGACAACAAAAGGTGTGTGCGCATCCTTTGAGGAGAGGCTGGGTCTTGAGAAAGGTGGGGTGAGCCAAGAGGCTTGATTTGTCCCAGCTTTTCCACAGGCTCCCTCTGGGACACTGCTTACATCCCTTCCTCTGTTGACTGGCAGCTCTGGGAGGCTGGAGCCGTGTTCATGCCTCCAAGGCAGCTCGTGCGTGGGTGGCTGGGAAACACTCATCTGCACCAAGCTAGGGGTAAAGGGCACTGGGGCAAGGTATGGGGTTTGCTTGCTGCAGGCTGAAGCAGTGCAGGGAAGTGCCTCATGTCCTGGTGTTGCATGTGCCTCGTCAGCACTCTGAGGCAAGCGCTAGGACCTGAGTGGGGTGAGCCTAGCCTCTGTCCCTGGACTCGTCCTGCCCCTAACCTTGCCGCTTGCCCCTTTGCAGTCCACCCTTCCGTACTACACATGGCAGGAGGTGCAGGCTCGCATCGTGCAGATCCAGAAGGAGCACCAGATCTGCATCCACAAAAAGGAGCTGACAGAGCTGGACATCTACCACCGCATCCTCCGCTTCAAGAACTACATGGTGGCCATGGTGAACAAGTCACTGCTGCCCATCCGCTTCCGCCTGCCACTGCTGGGAGACACTGTCTTCTACACACGTGGGCTCAAGTACAACTTTGAGCTCATCTTCTTCTGGGGGCCTGGCTCCCTCTTTGAGAACGAGTGGAGCCTGAAGGCCGAGTACAAGAGGGCTGGGAACCGCCTGGAGCTAGCTGAGAAGCTCAGCACTCGCATCCTTTGGATTGGCATTGCTAACTTTCTCCTCTGCCCCCTCATCCTCATCTGGCAGATCCTCTATGCCTTCTTCAGCTACACAGAAATCCTGAAGCGGGAGCCAGGCAGCCTGGGTGCCCGCTGCTGGTCTCTCTATGGCCGCTGTTACCTCCGTCACTTCAACGAGCTGGACCATGAACTGCACTCACGCCTCAGCAAGGGGTACAAGCCAGCTTCTAAGTACATGAACTGCTTTATCTCCCCTCTCCTCACCATTGTGGCCAAGAACGTGGCCTTCTTTGCTGGCTCCATCCTGGCTGTGCTCATCGCTCTCACCATCTACGATGAGGATGTGCTGGCGGTTGAGCATGTCCTGACCACAGTCACCCTGCTCGGGGTGGGCATCACAGTGTGCAGGTGAGGTGGGTCTCTGCTGCCTCTGTGCTCCTAGCAGCACTGTGGGGAGCAGTGGGGCTGACCACCATCCCTGCAAATCTGCTCTTTGGTTGCAAATGGACGTGAATCTGCCTGAGTGAAGGGTACAGCTGGGAGAGTCAGGAACAGGCAGGAGAAGGGGTTAGTGGTGATCTTGGGTGCAGTGGTTGTATGATATAAGGGGTGTTGCTGGAGTTATGCAGCAACACCCCAGGGCTCGGCTGTCAGGAAGGTTTGGGCTGACCTGAAGGCTACAGACCAGTCACCCTGCTCTCGCAGGGTGAGATTTCCCAGAAATTGAGGTGTGATGCCATGATGTTTCCCTGTCCTGGCCTACAGATCATTCATCCCTGACCAGCACCTGGTGTTTTGCCCAGAGCAGCTGCTGCGAGTCATCCTGGCACACATCCACTACATGCCTGACCACTGGCAGGGCAATGCCCACCGCTACGAGACCAGGGACGAGTTTGCCCAGCTCTTCCAGTACAAAGCGGTGAGCTTGGCTTGCAAGGGGCTGCGGTGGGGACTCGCCCCCATCCCTGCAGGAGGGAGAAGCTGCCAGAGAGCTGAGCAGCTCCTGGGCTGGCAGAGGAACATGGCAGCTTTCTCAGAGACACTCTGCCCAGGAAGCTGGGCTGGAGCTGGGGGCTGGCTTTGAGATTGTGGATTTTTTGACATCCTCAAGCTTGTGCTGAGCCCATCATCTCTGTGCTTAGGTCTTCATCCTGGAGGAGCTCCTGAGTCCCATCATTACACCCCTGATCCTCATCGTCTGCCTGCGGCCGAAGTCCTTGGACATTGTTGACTTCTTCCGCAACTTCACCGTGGAGGTGGTGGGTGTGGGCGACACCTGCTCCTTTGCCCAGATGGACGTGCGCCAGCATGGCCACCCAGCGGTAAGTCCTGTGGGTGGTAGGAGAGCAGCCTGGGCTCCCCACCAGCGTCTCTGGTCCTTTAGACCCATGAGAGGCCACAACTCACCACTCCTGGCAGCCCACAGCCCAGCCACCTGCCTCTCTGCTGGATGTCTGGGGCTGTCAGCACAGATCACCAGCCCCAGAGGGCTCTCATCACCCAGCTGTGATTATTAACCTGGTATTTTATGAGCCAGGCTTTGTCATTTCTTTATTTGATGTCCTTGCCTGTCTTCACAGCCCAGAGTTCTGTGTCCTCAGGAGAGAGGAATGGGGATATCTGAGCATTTAGAAAGCGTGACCACTGAGAATTGACTTACTATAGAAGCTGGGCTGCGTGTGTCCAGGAGAGAGGCAGCCTTGGGGAGATGGGAAGCATTTTCCATTATGTAAAATCTGGTGTGGAGGAAAAGGGGATCCATCTGTTTCCTGTGAATTTAGGTTACTTGTCAGGAAGGACTCCCTGGTGACAGGGCCATGAACTATGGAGGCAGTGGACTCACTGTGGCAGGAAGCTCTTAAGAACAGTCGTTTGTTGTCTGTTGTCACTCCTGCTGCAGGCCAGAGAATGCAAGATGACTCAGCTGTGTCATTTGTGACTGCCCCCATCTCTCCAGTTCCCATGCAGTGATACGAGTCCTGGGGTGGAGGTGGAAGACGCTGTGCTTTACAGCTGCTTCTTGCCCAGTCTGACCCTCATTACCTGTCTGTACTCTGCAGTGGATGTCAGCAGGGAAGACGGAGGCCTCCATTTACCAGCAGGCCGAGGATGGCAAGACGGAGCTGTCCCTCATGCACTTTGCTATCACCAACCCCAAGTGGCAGCCGCCCCGCGAGAGCACGGCCTTCATCGGCTTCCTGAAGGAGCGGGTGCACCGGGACAGCAGCGTGGCACTGGCTCAGCAGGCTGTGCTCCCCGAAAATGCTCTCTTCAGCTCCATCCAGTCCCTGCAGTCGGAGTCGGAGGTGCCCAGGCTGGGGGGGATGCGGGGTGTTCTTGGGGTGCTTGCTGGGTCCTGACAAACTGATAATCAGGCCCTCTGGGCAATTTTGCTCTTGCCTGGGCTGTATCTGAGGATGCAGATATGATAGATCAGCACTAGTTGGGACTGCTGCTGGGTTTCTGGAGAAGGCGGAAGGCTGTCCTGGGGACCTATTGGGTGGGAGAGGGGCTGAGAGCTGGGGTGCCTCAGTTCTGCGTCGCTGGCAGGGATCAGCCCTCCAAGTCTGCACAGGACAGTGATTCTCTCCCTTTCGACTCTGCAGCCGCACAGCCTGATTGCCAATGTGATAGCGGGCTCCTCAGCACTGGGCTTCCACATGGGCCGGGATGGACAGGCTTCCCGCCATCTCTCTGAAGTGGCCTCAGCCCTGCGTTCCTTCTCCCCGCTCCAGTCTGCCCAGCAGCCTCCCAGCAGCTTCCAAATGTCAGGAAGGGATGGAGAAGGAGCCCAGCCTCGGGGCGCCAGTGCCATGACAGCCTCTGGGTAAGCTGCAGGCTGGAGAGGGGCGGCCAGACACCTTGCAGATTCCTTAGACCCTTGTCCAATTACCATCCAGTTGTCCTAGATGCATGGTGGCATTTGTTTCTGCAGCCTGGGATACCAAGGGACATGTTAATAAGCAGAGTTAGGCCCAGGTGCTTGGGCTGGCCCCAGGGGACAGTGTTGGGGTTCTGGTGATCTCCTGTAGGTACCACAGTGGTGAGAAACCCCTGGTAGGGAAGAGGCAGTGCCGTAGCAGTGCTGGTCACCTTGTGCATCTGGAGAGACGCCACAGAGGGCCTGTTCCTACCCAGCCCAGGAGTGGATTTCTGCAAGCCTGACATTAGAGTGGAGAGGGGCTGGGCAGTGTGGGGAGCACTTGGGCAGCAAACACCACTTGTGTGTCCTATGGCAGTGCCGATGCGAGGACCGTGAGCTCAGGGAGCAGCGCCTGGGAGGGTCAGCTACAGAGCATGATCCTGTCGGAGTACGCCTCCACCGAGATGAGTCTCCACGCACTCTACATGCATGAGGTGAGCAGCCTGGAGCTGAGCCAGCCAGCGGGGCACAGGGCCAGGGCAGGTGGGACTGGGGTGCCCTGACTGGAATGACTGGGGTGCCAGTGTGAGTGAGAACTAAGACGAGAGTGTGTATGGTGCTGGGGAGAAGGGTGTATTTGGGTGTCTGGGCTCTCCCACACAGCTGACTCACTCGTGTTTTGGCCTGCAGTTGCACAAGCAGCACGCCCAGCTGGAGCCCGAGCGGCACACTTGGCACCGGCGAGAGAGTGATGAGAGCGGGGAGAGCGCCCATGAGGAGCTGGATGCTCAGCGTGGTGCCACCGTCCCCATCCCTCGCTCTGCCAGCTACCCCTTTTCCTCACCGCGGCAGCCTGCCGAGGAGACGGCCACGCTGCAGACTGGCTTCCAGCGGCGATACGGTGGCATCACAGGTACAGGAGCCAGGGTAGAGGTCTGAGCTCTGGGTCAAAGCCCCATAACCGATGCCTTGTACAGACTGGCATGAGCAGCCTGCCTGCCCCTGGAGACTGACAGTCCCCCAGGTAGCTAATATTCCTCCTTCCCTCTCTTGCAGACCCAGGCACAGTACACAGAGCCCCATCACACTTCTCCCGCCTCCCTCTGGGAGGCTGGGCTGAGGATGGGCAGTCGGCAAGACACCCAGAGCCCGTGCCAGAGGAGAGCTCAGAGGATGAGCTTCCACCACAGATCCACAAGGTAGGGGTGAAGGCTGTGGCTGAGAGCAGAAAGGTGTAGTCAGGAAGCCAGGATGGGGTGCTGGCGGCTGGTCCTGATAGGTGCCACCTTTCCCTTTTGTCTTGGCAGGTATAACCTTGTAGACTGGGGATCTCATGGGGACTGCAGACTGGGAGCCGCCTGGGCAGCAGGATGTGGCATCAGCCTTATTCTCCTCCTGTCCTGAGTGGACAGGATAGTCCTGGGCTCCATTTTGTTGCCATCAATTGCCGAAGAGACAAAACTGCCAGGCCGGCGGCTTTGCGGTGGCACCTTGTGTCCAGCCGTGTGTCAAGTCAACGCCACTCTGACTCTTGTGGGGTGAATGCGTGTGTGAGTACATACATGTGTCTGTGTTCACATTGTGTCGTCCGTGTTGGAGGATCACTACAGAGCCTGCGAAAGCTGACGTGACAGGAGTAGCAGTGGGGAACTGTGGACTGGTTTGAAGGGGTGGGAGATGGCTCCAGCTCCAGATATCCACCCGGAGCTGGGACCTGCCTCCAAAATGAAGGCAGGAGCTGTTGAGGGGGGTCTGGATCAGCCTGACCTCTGCAGCACCACCCCTGCTCTGCCTGCAGCCCTCAGGAGGTGCCCAGGACCATGTTTGCCCTCCCGGAGAGGACCAGTGTTGTACCCCTTGGCCTGGAGCAGGACAGCAGTGGGGCAGTCGCGCACCCCTCTGCCCCAGCACCCTGCAGAGGGATGGGCCCTGGCTGCTGCTGGTGGGAACAGCTCCAGCTGGGATCTGGGGATGCTGCAGCTCTTCCTCGACTCTCACTATAGCTGGACATCCCTTGCACACAAGGAAGGGTCCCTCCCACCTGGCAGCCTCTGTACCTACACCTGGGCTAGGGCAGCGTCCTCCCTCCTGCATAGCACTCATGGGATGTGGGCTGCTAGTGGGCCCTCCTGCAGTGCCAAAGAGACCTTGGGGTGGGGCAGCCCAGCCTCTGCCAGGAGTGCTCACAGCCCCCTGCAGCCCACCCTGAAGGTCTTGTGCTCGGTGTATTGGTTCCCTTCCCCCAGGCATGATAAAGGCCTTTTCCCCATGCCCAGGCTGTGGTGCATCTGTCTGTCCTCCCGATGGGGCCATTTCTGTGTTAACAGGCCTTTCCTCCTCCCCGAGCAAAGGCTTTGGTGTGTCTCACGTTTCACCCAGGGGCTCCCAGCTCCTCCTTCCCTCCTGAAACCATCCTTTTGCTTGCAACATGGCTTTGGCTGCTGTGCAGACTGTGTACAAAGCAGGTGGCTCATGCCTGGGCGGGGAAAGAAGGGGTGCGCTGAACCCAGAAAGGAGAGGCAAACCCCAGCCTGGCCCTGGGGTGGTGGTGGAGATCAGGATCCCAGCTGTGCAGCATGGCCTCAGCCAGGACCATCCCACCATTGTTCTGGTTTCCCTCTCTTCCAGTGGCAGCATGTGAGGATCTGCATCCCAGCTAACCCCTGCCAGGCTTTGCTTTTGCCCTCCCTCCCCTTGCCTTGGGCAGGGGCTGCTTGCTCTTGCCATGCCCTCTGCGAGCACCGCAGGCCCTCCTCTGCCCTCCCTGGAGCAGGGCCGCCTCCTCCCCTGCCAGGGTTATCACCCTCTGCCCTTCGAGCCTGGGCTGGGTGCGTGCTGTTCCTGGGCGTGTGAGCGCCTGGGTAGCCAGGGCGTGAGCAGGGCCCGGGTGCTCACGCAGGGCCAGGCTCTTTCGGGGTGGCGGGTTCCCTGCCATGATGGGGAGGGACAGACTGGAGCTGTGACTGCTCTGGGGTCTGTAAGAGACCAAAGGGAGCACGCTAAAGCAGAGATTGGGATGGGGATCAGCTCTTCACTGCTGGTGCCAGGACTGAGCCAGGCAGGGGTTCCACAGACCTGGGTGCTGCTGGGGTCCTTCCACAGAGGAGTGGCTGAAACGACCCCGCTGCAGCTCTGACTTGGGGCTGTCAGGGCATGGTGAAAGGAAACTGAAAGCAAATCTCCCAGGAATCCAAGCTTTCCCATGGCTTCCCCTGGCACCCAGGCTGCTGCCTTGTATGGAGGTGAGGCTCCCCAGTGCTGCAGGACGCCAGTCTCTGTTTCCCAGCGGAGTTGCTGCTGATGTCTGGGCTGAGCAGCTGAAGGCTGGCAGTGCCCTGGGGCAGGGCGGGGGGAGTCTGGGCCTTTTCCTGGGTGGGCAGGAGGGAGAGGCCGGGCAGGAGCAGGCAGGAGTCCTTGCCGCATGTTGTGCTTGTGTTGTCAGTGTCCCATGTGCATGGCGAGCCCCT